CCGAAGGCTTACACGATTCACAATAACTTCCTAAGACCGGTTGTTTTTTTCTCTTTTTAAAATTTTCCAAATTTACCATTTCAACCCCCCCTGGGGTCGTACGCTGTAACAGCTTGCCGGCCATACCATAAATAATCTCTCTCCCACAGATGCCAGACTGTGCCCACCTCCATCCCCCCCACAACCAATGTCATCATAACAAAATCCATGATAATGTCAGCAGGGGGTTCAGCTGTTCTAAGCCAAGAAAGTAAATTATTAAATTATATTTTTGCAGGAGAACGAAAACACCGGTACATTCTTGTAACAGTTGTTCCTACCATCTGCCATAACGTAACTTTTCTTGCTTTTTTTTCCAGAATCTATCATTTGAATTTCAACAAAATGTTTTTCGAGCGCAAGCAACCGATATCACAGGTTAAAAAGCTGCGATTTTAAAAAAATGTTTCAAAATTTTGGGATTAGCGTGCAACAGAACTACCAGCCGTAGGTGTTTTGTAACATCTTGCTGGCCAAAAATAATCGTCACACCCCCCCCCCCCAAGACATACACACAGTTGCTAAATTCACACACACACACACACACGCGCGCACGTACACACACATACACACGCACACACACACACACACACACATACAAACACACACACACAGACGTATACGTACAAAGACTCCGTGGCGACCACAGGTTCTGCCAGACCGTACAGGTTCGACGTGTTAAGTTCACACACGCACACGCACACACACAAACACAAACACAGATGTCTACTTACAAAGACTCCGTTGCCACCACGCGTTCTGCCAGACCGTACAAATTCGACGGCTGTGTTAGGTTCACAATCGGAGACATCTGTGCTGCAGGAGTCTTGCCATGCTGGGGAGGGGGGAAGAAAGAAATAGAGACGGGGGAACATAAATGATCGCACGAGAGAAGTGTTTAGTTTTAGTAAGAGTTTTACCGCACTTGCGACACAATAAGGTCAGAGGTTTTACGGCGCTTGCAACTGCATAAGGTCAAATGAGCGCCAGAAGATTAGAGGTGTTACAAGGGACTAACAAACATAAAAAAGAAGGAGGGGAGATAAGGACGATAGATCTTTTGTAGGAAAGAAGGAGTAAACCACATCAGAGCACCCGCCAATCATTTGTGATGTGATCTTTGTATGAGATACCAAGGAGGCAGACCAAGAGGCAGACCGAAGAAGAGTTAAGAGGACAACATCAAGGAATGGTCAGGCCTGGAACTCAAAGACACGCTCAGGAAAGCTGAAAGACAGGAAGGAGTGGAGGAAGCTGGAGGTCAAATCTTCAAAAGCACCCCGACGGACATCCAGTCTACGGCATAGGTGAAGGTGGTGAAGGTGAAGTCAGTCATTCTGTCATACAATGTGCTGAGCCATATAATAATAATAATAATAATAATAATATATAACATTTATATAACGCATTTCCAAAAAAAGTAGCTCAAAGCGCTTTACATTGGAATACCCATTTTCAAAACCTTTCTTACTACTTCCTTTCTTCTCATGCAATAAGTTGTTTTTTTTAAAACACATTTTGATGAGACAAAAATGATTTCATTATCAACTGGAGAAAAGTGAAGAATTTCGGCAGAAACAGTAGCAGACGTTTACCTCATGAGGCTCGGTGGGGACGCTGCCTGGGGCGAGAGACGCCTCCACTAGAGTGTCCTTGACCCTCTGCAAGGTCGTGAACAGCCGAGTGTTGATTGTCCTTACGTTGCCCGGAGTCTGCAGGAAGAAACAAAAAAACAGCCTCGTCCTGTCAACCATGAACATTCTGCTTCCTGCTGTTGACGCACTAGGACATACTAGAAGAACAAAAGAGAAGGAACCAATGATTTAAAAACTGTTTAGTAGTTTTAGTAGAGGTTTTACGGCGCTCGCAACTGCATAAGGTCATATGAGCGCCAGAAGATTAGAGGTGTTACAAG